AGTTCTTTCAAATATTTCCAGAACCACTAACCATTTCTATGGTGCAGTGAATTAGGGAGCATGGCTTTCTCTCACATCCATCCAACACTCACTGCTCTCAGCCACACGGGCCCATTTAGTGCCCATGGCTGTTTCTCCTTAAGGGCCATCTTTGGACAGCCTTGAGTTGGGGGCCAGTTCTGGCCGATGGGATGTGAGCAGAGGTGCGCCCACTCCCTGGGTGATGTGACTGTGGAGTGAGCATACCCACCCCTGGGCTGCTATGGGAAGTAGGCGTCTAGTATAATTTTATGTTTTTGTTACAGCAGTTTAGCTACGGCAAATATATATGGGGTGTGGGGAGCAGGAGTTGACTTGGGAGAGAGGGAAATGGAATTCCTGGGATGACAGAGAAGGGCATAGACCCCAGGAAGAGAGCGGTGCCTGGCTGCCCTGCACAGAAGGCCCGGATGATTGGAGCAGTGTCAACACGCTGAGGGCTCTCCTGTTGTGTGTTTTTAAACTTGAGGACAGAATGCCCAAATGAGCCTGAAGCAGATCCTTATCTGCACTTTGCTTGCCTTGTGCTGATGACAGTTCTGTTCACACTGCACACTAGCTAGCCAGGGGGCATGGGAGCGCCCCCCACCACAGAAGAGGCACCTGCTCTGACCTGCTCCTGGAAGCTGGAGGTGGCCATAGCAGCAAAGAGTGCCCAGCAGCCCACTCCCATTGACCATCTATTCCCTGCTCACACAGTAGCCTCCCAACACCTGCCCGGTATTCCCAGGGGCTCACTCAGGACCACCCTCTAGTCAATTCCAGGGAAGCTGAGCCTCTGTTCAGCTTCTATCCTCCCAGGGTCATTCATCTGATTGTTATATTGCCCTTTTCTTGCTGTTACGTTGGTGTTTGCTATTGCTTTTCTTTTTTTTAAAAATCTTTGTTGAAAGTATCACCTAGGTCCCTCCTTCCCCCCATTGACCTCTTCTAGCTGCCCCAACCCCCACCACAGGCCTTCACCATACTGTTGTCTGAGTTCATGGGTTATGCATATATACAGACCAAGTTCATTGGTTGATCTCTTCCCCCCGCCTTCCTTCCAAGGTTAGACAGTCTGTTCCATACTTCTATGTCTCTGGATCTCTTTTTGTTCAGTTTATTTTGTTCATTCGATTACACACACGAGTGAGACCATGTGGTACTTACTTTATCCGTGCCTTTCAAAACTAAACTGTATTGCTTAGGGGTATTGCAAGGAGTAAAACTATAAAGAGGAGCATCAGAATGAGTACAACAGACACGACGTAGACTGCTCTGTGGAGGAAGGCAGGGACTCACTGGGAAGGGGCCCATGGCCTCTCAGGTACTTTGTCCAGACTTTATAAACACTGTTCTATGGCTCCTCTGTTTCTTAACTCAGAAGGTGGATACCCAGGTTTTAATTTAAGTAGGACTCTGCCTGCTTACACTCTAATATCTGTTTAAGACATTTTACAATGTTTTAAAATAGGATTAAGTACGCATGGAACTGATAAATGAGTGGCAAGGACTAGGGTTTGGGAGGGGTGCAGGAGGAAAGACTTTGGTATTGTTTGACATGGTAAACCACAGGCAGCTACTGCTTTGATAACATAGAACTTCTGTGTTAGGTACTGGGCATGCAACAATGTTCGAGTCCAGGCTCTTGCCTTTGAGTACAGAATTTCTGAATCTGGCAGGAGACCAGTACAGATTGATCAACTTCCATACAACCTGGGGAAAGTTGTCAAGTACCCAAATGCACAGTGCTTTAAGATTACAGAAGAGGGAATAATAGCTGCTTTTAGTAAAAAAAAAAAAAAAAAAAAAAAAAAAAAAAAAGCAGTGAGAAGAGAGGGTTATGTACAAGGGAGATCATTTGTAAATTAGTCTTGAAGGAGGAATTTGAAAAAAGAGCAGAAGAGAAGAAATACAATGAGCAAGGATGCAGAAGTGTGAAAGCAAGTGCAGGTGATGGTCTGCATTGGACCAAGGGCTGTGCAGGCTGCACTCTGCATAACCTCCAGGGGGTGGCATTCATAGCTGTGCAGTGAGTGACCTACACACTATGCACCTTCCACCACAGTCTGGTTGAAGGAAGTGGCCAGGGCCCATAGGGAAGGGAGAAGAAGCCAAGGACATTTAGTGAGAAATTGAACCCTAAGCATTATTCAATAGGCTAGTGTTGACATATTCAAATTATTTGTCATTTCAATATGATTTTTAAAAAATCACATCAACATTCTCAGTGAATAGCATGTACTTTTATTTATAATGGCAGGGGACAAACATGACTAAAGCTCCAAATTGATGTGTTCACATTAATTTCATTCTTTAAGAACCAAAAAAGTCAGTCATCTGTGATTACCAAAATATATTAACCTTTCACCCTAGAGACTGAAAAAGGAAGCTAAGTTAATCTTGTAATTCTAGAACAAGCTCCATAATGAGGGATTCTTAAGTTTTCATAGAGTGTGGGATAAAAGGTGATAAAATCATTTAAGACAGTGTTTCTCAAGTGGAGCTACTTTCACAGACATTCTTGGAAAGACGGGAGCTGCAAGATTTTTATGATAACGTTTTACCTTTAACTTTTGCTCATCACCTAACATTCATACGCACATGAGCAGGATCCTCTCACAAATCAGTGTTGCCACATGATCACAGCATCTGCACGTGGACCTCTGAGCCCTGTGGACCCAATAACTGTGCTTAACGTCTCACGTGGCACTTCTCACATCGGCCCTCAGACCCTTCCCAGGATGGTTGAGCATTTCCTATGACCTCTGGGCTGTCAAGGTTAAGAGCACGAGTTCAGAGCAGTGATTCTCAAGATAGGATAGGGGGAGACATATGGAGTTTGGAAAAGCACATTCAAAATACCTATGGACTTCAAAATGCAAACTAGAAATTCAAACTCCACAAACTGATGTTTGGGCAGTCACGTACAATAACTATCAGTTCATCCTAGGGAGCCTGGGATAAACCGGTTGGGAAACACTGGCTTAGAGGTGGGAGTCCTGGCACAACCACAACAGTTAGTAAGACCCACATGCAACAGAGAAAGAACTTGTTTGGGTCCATGAGGGAATCCTGAGCCGTAACTTGTCCCAGGGGCCGATCCGGAAGAAACCCGAAGACGCCATCCACCATCTCAGACCTGTGGTCTGTGGCATGTGGGTCCACTTTCAATAGAGTTGAAAGAAGAAAAGCCTGTTTTTGCTGAGAACGCTCCCTTTTTTTTTTTTTTTTTTTTTTTTTTTTTGGTTTAGATATTTCAGAAGATTAAGTAATCAGTTGCTGGGTAAAGTTCGCCCCAGATCCATCCACCAGAAGTGCTGCCACCGTTCACAATGCCATCCCACTCTCAAGGGAGACATCAACCTGGGTCTGCTCTGCCAGGAAAAAAAAACCCAGAGAATTACATTTTCTTGCAAAGGTGAATTCCCCTCAGTTCTCTTTCATCACCAGAACACGTACTCCTGTTATTTATACACAATCCATTACAGGTGGCCTTGAAAGCATCTGTCAGCAAAATCCTGAGAGCATATTATGCTGAAGGGCAAAGCAAATAAAGAGGCCTTGTGAATATGGGGACCTCATAGTTGGGGAAATGGTATTTCCCATATTCCCAGAAGAGTCATTTGTTTTCTTCCATTCTTAATCTAAGCCTAGACTGCTAAAAAATAAAAATAAAAAAAATGGCGTTCTAGAATAGATAACATGTGGCACCCCAACTAATTGAATTTTGAGAGCTTTAGTACATGAGGTTTGGCTGGAAAGCTAACACAGACATAGTAGTCACCTGCTGTGATAATGTCATAGAATTGTCTAGAAAATTTATAATAGTGATTTTTTATTTCAAAGGATTTATTTGTATTTTTTCCGAACTCTTTTTGTTGTGGTTATTCTGAGTAACCACCACTAAGTATATATACTCATTGCTCAAGGCTACGTTATTAAATAACCCTCAAAGAACATTGTGGTTTTAAAAACCAGAAATGTCTCCTTTGACTAAAACACCACCAAGTCTGAGTCTGTGGAACTGGACTAGTTAGAGGCTAGCTAGCATTAAGGGGAGCTGAGGAAGAAGGGGGCTCATCAGACTCCAAAAGTATCCTGGTTCCTTTCTAAGGGGTTCATTGCCCTGTGATTTTCTATTCAGCCAAGAATACCCCTTAGGCCAGTGGTCACCAACCTTTCAGACCTCATGGACCAGCAGTAGTCTACGGACCATAGGGTGGCGACCGCTACTTTAGGCTACCATTTTAGAAAACTTCCATTTTGGTGTTTGGGAAGCCCTTCAATTGAAATTGAGTTGCAGTGTGAACACAGATGAAGCACACACTACCTTAATTTCACATTGCAATTGTTATCATCAAAATTGCTTAGCATGGCCTGTGAGCTCTGGCCTCTGCCCACATTTGTTACTAATCTCGTTTCTCACTGCACTGCTCTTGCTCTCTCATTCTTGAATTTTCTATACTGACCACCTCAGGGCCTTTGCACTTGCTATTTCCTCTGTCGGAAAACCTCTCCTGCTTCATCTTTACTTGACTGTCACAAGATCTGAACTCGGCCGGCCCCTCTCAGAAAGCCTGCCCTTACCATATTAGCTAAATTTGCTCCCCTACCCCTGCCATGTTCTGTCACATTAGTCTCTTCATTTGTTTCATGAATTACTTACTTACTTTTTATCTGCCCACCTCTCTAGAATATAAGGTTCATGTTATCTTTTTGTTCATCACTATATTCCCAGGGCCTTGTGTAGTGTCTGGCACATAGTAAATGCTCAATATTTGTGAAATGAAGGTTGAGTGAAATGATGTCTCCCATTGGCACAATCCCTTTGTAAAAAGGGAAGTTAATAAATGACATTACAGTGCCTCAGACCACTCTAAACCATCCTGTACCTAGCCTTCCGTGAAAAAACATGGCAGTAGAATTCCACCTTCTCCTAGTGTTCCCGGTCCAGCATCCTACCTGTCACTCACCTGTAATTACGGCTGTAAAGCTCCCATTTCTATCAACCGCACCTTCAGTTCCCCGCTTCTATCCATCTCCACTAGATCACTGCATCCACCGATACACTCTTTCCCCATAAAGATTCGAGGTACCTAAAAAAAAAAGCAAACAAGCCAGGTCATTTAAGGAACTTAATTATTAGCTTAGCGAGAATGACATGTTTCCCTCTCTCTAAATATTTGCCACAGTCCAAGCTATTCAAATAATTTTACAATCTCCTCATGTATATTGTTACAGGACAAAATTTTATTCTGAGGATAAAATTATCCATTAAAGAATGTTTTTAAGCCACATATCTTTCAGATTGAATATGCTGTGCATGAAATTGCCTAATTTGTCAGTGATTTAAAGTTTTCACTCTACCAGGTATAACCCAACAGCGTGGCTCAGTGGTTGAGTGTTGACCTATGAACTGGGAGGTCATGGTTTAATTCTAGGTCAGGGAATATGTCCTGGTTGTGGGCTCAATCCCCGGTGTAGTTGCATGCAGGAGGCAGCAGATCAAGGATTCTCTCCAGTCCTTGATGTTTCTCTCCTTCTCCCTTCCTCTCTTAAAACAATAAAAATATACATGTTTTAAAAATGAAATAAAATTTTCACTCTATAGAAACACATTTCTGGGAGGGAATTTTGATTGGCTACAGCTGGTCCACCACCCTGATTGATTTCTGGTGTCTGTGCAGCTGGGACCCTTAATGCAGTGGTTTGCAATGTAAAAATCTGTGTTCTCCAAAGGTCTTCGGCTCTACAGCAGCGGTTCTCAACCTGTGGGAACAAAACCCACTAGCAGGGTCACCTAAGACCATCGGAAAACACAGACATTTACATCATGATTCATTAACAGTAGCAAAATTACAGTTATGAAGTAGCAACGAAAATAATTTTATGGTTGGGGGTCGTCGCAACATGAGGGACTGTATTAAAGGGCGGCGGCATTAGGAAGGTTGAGAACCACGGCCTCACTGTGAGCCAGGGCCAGCAGGAAGGAATTTGTTTCTGAATATAGCTGGCCAATTATTCGCATTAGGTCTTTGCCCCTGAATTTTAGATCCACCATTTATTAGTCAGCTCTCTCCTTCGTGAGCTCTTTCCTCAGCTGGGAAAGGCATGGTGGTGTCCAGTCTCTTTCAATCCCCGGCCCGTCCTTGGATGTATAAGTGCAGTTATACATCCTTGATCTGCTGTCCTGGGAACCACGGCCACTCCTCTGCTTTAGTTTCACACCTGCAACAGTGCCACACAAGGCAAGCCAGGCCGATGCAGCCCTTACGCCTGATGCGTTCGTTCATCTCCAGTCACCTGCAGGCTCCCTCCCTGCTGCTGCGAGCAGGCACACTTCAGAATTCCAGAGGGCTTTGGGGATCCTGAGGGAGGAACAAGTCCTCTCATGGTGGCCTGGACAACTTCCGGGCGAAGGGCCCCGCCACAGAGAGGCTGTCTGGCCACAGGGCAGCAAGCACTGCATGGGCCACTGTGTGCTGGTCCTCTTCCTGAGCCAGGAACACCCCAGGAGAGGTGAAAGACAAGAAGCGGCAAGAATATTTTCAGGGGGACAATGGTAAAATATGTACACATATAATACCTTAATAAAAAAAATGAAAAAGGGAAAAAAAAGAATTTTCAAAGCTTTCGGCTTTCCTTGAAAGCCATGGCAATTCAAGTAAACTTTCTAAAAAGTGAGCCGAATTACTTCAGGTAAGTCCTTACATTATTTTTATTAAGGGTTCTGGCCCAGCCAATGTGGTTCAATAGTTGAGTGTCAACCTATGAACCAGCAGGTCATAGTTCTTTTTATACCTGGGAGTGCAGGAGGCAGCCAATCAATGGTTCTCTCTCATCATTGATGTTTCTAGCTCTCTCTCCCTCTCCGTTCCTCTCTGAAATCAATAAAAAAAAATATTACAGCAAAATTTTTTTTGAGGGGAAAAAAGGGGGGCGCGGGGCAGTCTGGGTGGAAGTGGACTTTAAAAATTAAGGCCAAATATTTAAAAAGAAGTCCAGATATTTCCTGTGCCCTGAGAGCGGGTAAGAGCACGCAGGGCTGCGTTCCAGAGAGAGAGCCAGGCGCTGCCTGCTCCCCGGAGCACAGTCTGGGCGGGGCTTTGCAGGTGGGCGGAGTCATCCAGGCACCGTTGCTTTTCTGAGGCTGAGAGAATAGCCACAGACAGTTGAGGTCAGAAGCCTAAGTGTTCCCCTGGGACCTGGCCATTACTTCAGAGAAAATAAAGCTTCCCCCACAAACTGTTGGGGCCTTTTGGCTTCTGTCTCCCCCGGAAAACTCGGCTGTGGTGAGTTGTACCAGTAAATAGAGCAGAATCCTAATGTAGTTCTAATATACTGCAGCACTACCATGGAAGGCAGTGCCTAATGAAATAAAGATCAACTGATTTCTATACTAGATTGTATTGTATGAGGAGGAGATGGTGGCATTCTAGAATTTCTAATCTTTGCAAAAAGAAGTCAGCCATTGTTACCACTCCTACAGCTTGCCATCTGTCCACCTGGGAGAGGGGTGTTGGCCAGAAGGGTGTGAGCTAAATCAGTAGGAGTCCTGAAGGACCAGGAGTCCTCTTTTCAGACAGTGGAATGCACAACCAGCCTGCCAACAGATCTACACACACACACACACACACACACACACACACACACACACACACACGGTTTTCCCCCAATATCTGATACAGGAGATCTGAGTTGGGGCCAGGAATTTGCTTTTTCGGTAAGTTCCCAGGTGATGCTGCTGCTGCTGCTTCAGGGATTGTGTTTGCAACGACTGGGTGACACTGAGCATCTGTTCCTTCCTCCCAGGGTAACTGAGACTTCAGAACCCCACAGGCCTGCAGCAGCCTCCAGATGTCTGAGACAGGCCCGAAACACCACCAGCCGTCTCCAGGGTGGAGCTCTGTGTCCACCCTCTGGTAAGGGAGCTGGTGGGCCTGAGAGCCGAAGGCCCCCTTGCTCTTACACCCACCTTGTGTCCGCAGCCCCCAAACCACCTTAAAGCCACCAGGTACAAGCATCTCCAAAGGGAGCTGTACCCGCCAGTGTGTGTGTGTGTGTGTGTGAGGGGGGGGGGGGGGGTGTCCGTGGTGGCAAAACAGGAAACTTGATTCATCTGAGGAAGTTAGAGTCACCCTCAGTGCCTACCCCTCCTGGCACCATCCCCTTTTTCTGGGAACTTGAGTCTTACTGTCAAGAAAGAGAGACAGCTCTTACCATAAGCAAGTTTGGTAGGAGAAGTAAGAGTTTCCAGTGCCCAGCCTCAGCTAGGAGGTATTGTCTGTGCTGTAAGGTTACTCAGATGTGGCCATTTTTATTTCAAAGGACTAACCAGTGGTCGGCAAACTCATTAGTCAACAGAGCCAAGTATCAACAGTACAATGATGGAAATTCCTTTTGAGAGCCGAAAACCGACTTCTGTGCATGGGCCACGAAGTTTCAACTCCACTGTACGTGCGCGCCCGCACATGGTATTTTGTGGAAGAGCCACACTCAAGGGGCCAAAGAGCCGCATGTGGCTCGCGAGCCGCAATTTGCCAACCACTGGTCTAGTGGATGCAGGAGGAGGTTCGTTTTCTCCTGTAAAGAACATGTGCTCCCCAGCTGAAAGCCGTAGCTCCCAAAATTTGTTGCAAATTGGAATTACCTGGGGATCTTTTCTTTGGATAGAAAATAAAACTTTTCCCTAGCTTTCATGAAATGCAGTTGACCAATTGTATATATTAAGGTACGAAATATCATGGTTTGCTTATGTAGACACTACAATGATTACCACAGTTAACACACCCATCGCCTCACACGGTTAACATTTGTGTGTGTGTGTGTGGTGAGTACAAGATCTCTTTGCAAATGTCAAGCGTACATACAATATTATCAACTATTGTCACTCTGCTGAACATTGGATCGCTAGAACTTACTCATCTTATAACTAAACGTTTGTACCCTTTGACCTAGGGATCTTTAAACCCCCCGAGGCCTGACACAGTGATTTCATTGGTTTGGTTTGGATATGATGTGGGCATGGGGGTTTTATTTTTTATTAAAGCTCCTCAGGTGATTCTAACGTGTAGCAGCATTTGGGAACCAATGGCCAAGAGGGACCCGGCACAGAGAAGGCCTTAGCAGTATTTGCCTGGCTCTTTCCTCTCACAGCCCAGCAGCCTAGACAGCTGCGGGGTGGGGGTGAGGGGTAGGGAGGAAGCCAAGCAGCAAGTCTCTCTGCTCCAGGACCTTTCAGAGACAGGAGTCCCCGCCCCCCTCTCCCCGCAGCTGGGGCCCGGAAAGCAAGGCGAGAACCCAGGTCGCCTCCCTCTGCACCAGGGAAAAACCTCCGTATTTCCCCTGAGAGCCCTGGGAAAACCCGATAAGCCAAACTCTCCTGGAACTGGGACATGTGCTTCTGCAACCCTGTGCCCTAGAATGGAAAGGGATTGGGTGAGAGCTGGAGGGACATCATGCACCCCAGCCGGCACCAGGCCTGGTGCAGGCAGCCTGGGTGGGTGGGTACCCTGCAAGAAGCCTTATCAGACAGGGGACAGCCATTCCTAGAGGGTCCCCCGGCCCATTCACAGCAAAGGAAATGTAGAGGTGAGGTGGCTGCTCTAGGCTGGCAGCAGCGAGGAGGTCCTTGGCCTCAGAGGGGGTGACCTGCCCAGGATCACACAGCAAGCCACTGAGAGAGCCAGGCCGGAACTCTGGCCTCTGGACTTCCTCCTCCTAGGACAGGCCTAAAAACACTCCCTCATGTACAACAAGGGGCACATGAATAAGCCTTTTTTATTCATTAGATTTTTTTTTTCCAGTGGGAGGCCTTAGATAAGGGAGAATGAGCAAACTGGATTAGCGTCAGAGAGAGCCTAGAGAACAGATGGAAGGGCAGCAATTTCACGTGGCCACCTGAGAATGGAAGGGGCAACAGAACGTACAGATCCCACTGGGCCCCTTCTCCCCGCCGCCCACCCCAGCTCTGCAAGCTGGAAACTCCCCACAGCATGCTGAAAACAAAGCCTCCGCTCACTCCCCACACCCGGGACAGCTGCTGGGCCACGGACCCTGGCCAGGTCCCGGCAGCCTGGGCCCTTGGCTGCAGGCCCGCTGCCCAGGCCAGGGAGCAGTGTCCGCTCCCCGCCCTCCCGGGGCCTTAAGTGACTGACGGACGGAGCAAGCCCTGGCGGCGTCCTAGAGAAAAGCACAGGCGAACCCTTTCAGGGCCCTAACTTAACAAGAAAAAGGAATCAGGTATCCATCTCCCTCTCCCGCTCCCCCGCCCCCTCCCCGGCCTTTCAGAACAAAACCCCAGCCTCACCGTTCTGGCTCCTGTGAGATGCTGCAGGTAATCCTGAACCCGCTCTGTGTTCCTGGTGACTGTGATATCCACGAACACCAGCGACTCCTTTTTGAAGGGGTACTGCAGGAGGAGCTCCTGGGTCCGTTTGCAGAAGGGGCAGGTGGGCTTCATGAACACCACCATCCTCCCGGGCTTGAGGTGGCTGTCCACAAACTCCTGGGCCGTGCAGGTGGGCTGCATCCTGGGGGGGCGCCTCCTGGCAGGGCAGGTACCGCTCAGGAGTAAGAATGGAGGCCCCGTCAGCTGGCCCTCATTTAAAGGAACCTCCCAAGAGGAGGAGTTTGCCCCATTAGCCTGGCGTGCTTGATTTTTAAAGGGACAGCCCGCCGCCGAGTCATTGCACCCTGAGGTGATTCACCAAGGAATGCATATTTGCATTTCCTCTGTAGCTGGGCTCGGGGCGTCAGTGTCTCGGCGCTGTCTGGGGCGCCTGTTCCTTCCGTGGCGGGAAGCAGGGCCAGAACACTCCCACAGCTCGGACCAGCCCCAGGGAGGCGTCTGAGCCGCCGTGACCTCCCTTGTGTAAAATCTTTGTGTGCCCTCGGAGAGAGATGGTTCTAAAAAACGAGGGTGCAAACAGAATAATTCAAGAAATAGGATGCATTGAAATCTCCTTACAGGAAGTGAAACTAAAATTGTGACTGGTCTTGAGATTGTTCCCTGGGCTGTTTTCTTAGCCCGCACAGGGTTTTTGTTGTTGTTGTTGTTGTTGTCGTTACTGTGAGTGTTTCAATGGGATGTTTCAATGAAGTGTTTCAATGGAATGATTTTACAACATTTAAAAATCTGGGGATTTCTGCCGAAACCGGTTTGGCTCCGTGGTAGAGCGTCGGTCTGTGGACTGAAAGGTCCCAGGTTCGATTCAAGTTAAGGGCATGTACATTGGTTGCGGGCACATCCCCGGTACGGGGTGTACAGGAGGCAGCTGGTCGATGTTTCTCTCTCATGGGCGTTTCTAGCTCTCTATCTCTCTCCCTTCCTCTCGGTAAAAAATCAATAAAATATATATTTTTTTAAAAATAAAATAAAAATCTGGGGATTTCATAAAAGAATCTGGTCTTGTTGTTCTCTGGAAAGTCAGGTCTGACGAAACAGCTGGCAGCAGCTGGGGCCGAGTAGCTGTTGTCCACACCGGGCGGGATGATGCTCTGCCCTGGGGTGCCCATGCTCGCCCAGGTCAGCTCTGATCCCCTCTGTGTTCGGTAAGTTCCATAAGCAAACCAAAGACCAGCCATCTCCTTCCACAGTGACATCTTTTCCACAAGAAGTTTTGAGGCAGAAGAGTTAGATGTTAGAATTTATTTATTTTTGACAAGTGGGAAAAGGGAAATGGAGGCATATGGTCAGAGACAGACAAGCTAAACCATTTACAGCTGAGTAAATTGTAGTAAATCATAGATCATATCTTCTTACTTTCCCTAACCAAAGACGCAGGGAACAAACAGTTTACACCTCTCCTCCCTAACCGGAGAGTAAATAACTTACATCACGCTGGTCAGGGAGATAGAAAACAGAGAGCCCATTAGTGCCAGCCAAACCCCAGGACAGATAAAGTCAGGGGAATTCATAACAACAACAAAAACCATCAGACTAAAACAAATCCAGCACAGAGGCGAAGCTGACCAGGAAGTGACCCTAGTCCCTCTGCACACTCGTTTGGTACATTAACATATTTAAAAACATAACATAACAAACACACCTAGAAAGCTGATGAATATGCTGCTGAAACCTTCTCACCTGCAGGAGAGAGAAAAGCCCTCAAGGCCAAGGATGTCAGCTGGGGCGTCTTTCTATTTTCTTTCTCCTAAATTCTCACTGTCTCCAGCTGTAAGAAACACACTCTTAAATCCACCTGGACTCGTGCTGTGGGATCTTTCCTGCCGGCTGGCCCAGTCCCCATCCAGGAACAGTTTTACACTGAAACCTGGAGTATCTTCCGAGAGGTGTGGCCGGTCAGACCTGGACTTCCCCGCGGACCGCCCCGTCTGTGGAATCCCAAGCCTCCTGTGGTTTCTCAAGGGAAGGAAGGGGACTCCTGCAAGCTGCTCTAATTATTACTGAAATTAACCGGAAAAATGGGAAACGCCCGTTCCGAGTCGCAGAGAGGGCGCTAAGAAGTGAGATCTCTGCCCACAGGACGAAGGTGTGGAGCGAGCAGGCCCAGGGCACTTGTTGGCCAGGACTTGGCACTTCTCAACCCTTAGCTTCATCTCCCTCCTGCATAAGCTTTTGGGAGAGTCTGGTCATCTCTCTTCTTTTTCTTCCTTTAGCGCGGACTCCTGTGGCCAATCCCTCCCTGAGGCAGGGTCTCTTCAGGACCCTCTGAGCTGTCTCCCCCTGCTCGCCCACCCGCCCCAGTCAGCAGCACACCTCGTAGCTGGCTGCCCCTCTGCGCCTTGCTCTCCTCAGTGTCTGAATTCACTTCTCCTTCTCTGTTGAATCCTATTCCTCATCATGTGACTGCTCCAGTCTCTCCCTTTGTAAAAACCAGAAACACCACCTTCTATCTCATTTGGCCCTGCTTTCCTGCCTCCATTCTTTTTTCTTAACGGACACGTTTCAAGAAGTTGGCTATTGTGTTTGCTTTCTGGCCTTTCCTCACTTCCCGCTCGCTCCTCACCTCAGTGCAATCTGACATCCTTTTCATCCTTCCTGCTGAGATCCCTTTGGCCAGCATCCATCAGGCTAAACCATCTTGTAGTCAAGTGTGCTGACTCAGACGAACTCAGAAGTAAGGGTAGGTAGGTGTGGAGTTTTGGGTAAACTGGTGGAGTAAACCTCCAGAGTGTTTGCACAGGGTTCCAGAGGCTGGGGTGTGGAGGGCCATGGGCCACCGCTGAAGAAGGCCTTTGTATGAGGGACTCTGTGAGGCAAGGAACACAAGCAGATGGCAAAGACGGGGTGTCTGCTCTGTCTGAGGAAATGCTGTGGCTTCCGCTGCGTGGAGAACTTAAAGCGTAGGCTGCCCTGCTGTGTTGGCATAGTGAGGGTGGATGGCGGTAGCCCATCAAAGACGTGCTGGCGCACCAGGATCCAGGCCACGTGTGGCTCCTCTAGGAAGGACCCCTGAATACGTATGTCTTTTCCATGTTGGATGGGGTGCCCCTCAGCTGAGCTCACACAGCATGCTGTGCCCAACTCATTCCATGCCATCGCTCTTTTTTATTCTTTTTCTTTCACCTGCACGGAGCTCCTTGAGGGTAGGGAAAGGGCTTTCATCCCTGTATTATCAGAGGCCAGATACACACTGGTCCTTATCCATCCAACCATGCATCCATGCCCCACACACTTACTAGTCCACCATTCTGGGCCAGACACAAAGATCAATCAATCAATTACATGTAGTCCAGTCATAAGGAAATTATAGTCTAGTGGGGGGCAGAGACATGGACAATGGACACAGTGGTGTGTTTTCTAGTTGGTATAACAAAGTATGGATGGGCACTAGGGCAACCAAAAGAGAGTGGTGATTAGGGGAAGGGGACAAAGGAGAGCTAGACTGAATTTGGAGAAGGTGACATGTTTGTGAGTCTGCAAGGCAGGTGGGGGCCCTGCAGGCAGAGTAGCAGGAACAGCAGGAATGACATCGCAGTAGTATTGAGTATAGCTGTGTGTGGATAGAGCATGGGGAGTTGAGATGGGAAGAGACAGCTGGAGAGCAGGCAGAGGATGCGTGTCCTTTACCAAGCTAAAGGATGGGGACTTTACACCCAGGAATGAGGAGCCATTGCAGGTATATTTAAAGCACGAGCAGATTTGCAGCTAAACATTAGCTGAATTAGGGATTTTCTAGTGTGATCGTGGCCATTTCAGTCCCTAACAAGAAATGACCAGTTAGGATGGCTGCTGTGCCAGCAGCCTTCAGACACGTGAAGGTGCTGGCTTGTGGTTATTTTCATTTTCAGGCTGGTCTTATTTGAGGCTCACTCTCTGGACCCCTCTAGATTTGACCAGGACGACGAACCCAACTCTAACTGTAGATTCTAACTCTGGATCTGACCACAGAGGACTCTGACTGCAACCCCAGGTATAGTAACTCTGGTTAGATGTTTCCTCACCTCCCTCCTCTGGGTGGGATAGCTCGGTGCCCAACGCATTGACACCGACAGCGACCATTTACTCTGCACGCACCGAGTGCCAAGAGCCTTACACGCATCCTCTCCCCTCCTCGCCACATCTTTGAATGGCAGATACTGAAGGCCCCAAGCCGACTAGAGGAATAAGGAGAGAGGGTCCCTGACTTGAAGGACCCAAAATTCAACCAAGGTCAGGGGTGGAGGCTGCTTTCCAGTGAGCTCCACCATATATCTGGAAGGCCTTTCTTGTTGCCTCCATTCCTAGGGTCCAGACTCTTTTGATGTGGTGTGTCACCCACTAATGCTGGTGACCTGAGAGGCCTCAGGTCCCTCTGAGGTTTCTTGCTGTCACTTAAGTTGGAGACTGTGTCCTTGAGCTCTCTAGGTGTTTCACATAAGGTCTTATTTTGGCTATTGGCTCATGGGAGGGAATAATCCCTATTCCTCTTTTCTCCTTCGCCTAATCACATCAGGCAAACCAAACTAAGCCCTTCATTTAGTTTGAATTTATTAGGAATCTCTTTATTGGGGGCATAAAAGAGAAAGTGGCATATGTTCTCTTTTCCAACCCTCGGTGCCAAGGTAGAACATCTCACAGGGCATCAGACCAGTCTCCTTTGGGATGGGCGTGGTTGAGGGAGATGGAGGGTTAAGGATTTACTGAGGAAATCCAATCGCAGCCTCAGGGGGGGTCCTGGGGTGTTTTGAGGGAAAGCACATAGACCTACCTGTCAGAGCATCGTGTAAACAAGCATCATATAATACCTGTTTTTGTCGCTCCAGCCTCTAACCATACTTACTGACTCAAATATCTTAGGTAGAAAGTAACTGGTGTGATTAGGGGGTTGCTTTTCCCGGCTGTCGGGATGCTGGAGGTGGAAGAGGCTCAGTGACCCAGGGCTTGGGGAGAGTGTCTCTGAGATTCTCCTGATCTTCCCTCAGGATTACAGACTGCTGCAACAGCTCTGAGCATCCGTCCTCACACACTGTGTTGTAAGGAAGTAAGGGGGCAGGGGCCAGCACAAGCAGGGTGTTTCTTTCATGCTTTTCCCTGACAGACTTTCTGGCTGCTGACGAGGACAAGACAAGAGACAGAGGACTCTA